GGACATAAATGATTGATTAACTATTCATAATAAAACAAATATATGTAATTTTCTTGGTTTTAATAAAGAAAGGAACTTACACCAACAGATAACCACAGCTGCTATAATATAGTCGGCCATAAGGATCCATCCCCAACAATTCTGCTCCTCGAATAGACTTCCCTGCTTTCATCGAAGGCTTATCCTTGTTAATTGCACATTCAGGGCAATACCAATCCCCCTCTGGCAAGAGGCTGCTGACAACTCCTACGCATCTGGAATGAAATGCCGCAGGACAACCATCACAACATATTAAGTTCCCATCCATCTTACATAGGCAGCACTCATCACTGTTCCAATCTGCAGTTTCTTCAACATCCTCCTCTGTGATGCAAGAACCGCTAGCAACATCCATTACCGCCTTTCTTTTCTTGGAGCTGTCAGACTTCATAGTCCGATCAAAATCCACTTGTCGTTCGGTTGCCATTGTCCTTCTATTAATCTCTGACCTGATGGATTCTACATCCATCGCATCATCACAAAGGCGCCGCAGTATCTCAATCTTTGTCATCACAGGTAGTTTGTAATAGTCACTCTGAGAAAGCTTCAAGTGACAGAGATCGAAACCAGAGACGTATCCAGAACTGTATACTAACAGATACTCAACAACAAACACGGGCCATGTGATCAAATCCAGCAAATCCCAATTATGAGACCTAAGTTACAAATAGAATATAAAAGAATTATGTACCAAGAAATTGGAACCGAAATGCATAACTTTTGGAATCAAAGTAAACTAAATACCTGAGACAATTAGACGAAGACATATCACCTTCACTGGAAAGCAACTCCAAATGCTTCCGTAATGTTTGCAAAAGGCAAACGTGAACGGAATCAAACAATAATGTAGAATGGTTACATTTCACGGATGCCAGAAAATCATCCAGCTCAAATGGGCTTAGAAACAGTGAAGTACTGAAAGACCTCAAGAATGCATAAACAGAAAGAATATCAAATGCAGAAACACCATTTATATCCAAATTTCCAGAAGAAGGTGGCAACTCCACCTTTGGCGGAAGAACATCCTCCTCAGATCTTTTACGACACAACACTTCAATCTTTTCCTCGCAAACTGAACTAATCGCTGGAGAGGACAGCCGATTACTGACTCTGTCTATCCCTACTGTATTAAAAACATGATCTTGACCAGAAAAAGAATCCCTATTCACTCTGCGATTGCTCCTTCTCAATCCTGTTTCTGGTGTAGCAGATGTAATATTATTATCAGATACATCTCTTCTCTTCCTACCTCTTCTCCCTCCTGGCGCACTTCCAGGAACTTGTTTATCATAATCAAGTACACCACTACCACTTTCCCGTTGTTTTTCGTAGTTGTCTTTTGAGTTTATATTCACATTTCTTCCATCCGTGTTTGCCATCTGTGGCACGTCCAAGTTAATATTGTCATCCGAGATCCTTCTTCTCTTCCTACCCCTTCTGCCCCTTGGCACACTGACAGGAACCTCATTTTCAAAATCAACTCTGCCGGCACAGTTCTCCGCTGTTACGCCTATTTTTTCTAAATTTATATTCTCATTTCCATTTTCACCCTTCACATTAAATAAAATAACCTTATCATCCCCACGAATCTCTTCCTTCTCTGGCTTATCTTCTTCTGCACAGAATTTTTCATTTTCCCCAAACTTTCCCGGTGAGTTACCTGAATTCTTAATCTCATTCTCTGGTAACTCGAAATTCAAGTCAAGACAAACCCTTTTTTTCTCGGGACTAAAATTCTCAGAATCTTCATTTACATCCAAATTCAAATCAATTATTTCTTTCCTTTTACCCGACCTGTCGTATGAAACCCCTTCATTGAAATCCATACCCTCATTCCTCAACTCCAAATTCACCGCTTCATTCAAATCCACACCTTGCAGCTTAGCCCCACCACCAGCACAGTTATAACCCAAATTCCCCCCATCGTCATCATTCAAATTATTAAACCCATCATCATTTATATCCAACCCTTCATTCAAATTAAAACCAGCCGCATTCAATTCCATTTCCCCAGAACCCCCACCTAGATTACCAGAAACACCACTCTCTAATACCGAAATATCAATTTTACCTGTATTTATGTGGCTCCGCTTCCTCGGTTTGCGGCCAAGCCTTCTGGTGGGCTCCTCCACGAAGGATGGCTGCGCTTCCCGAGCCAATTCCAGTCCCTCGGGAGACACCAACAGAGAACTAATTTCATTCAAGTCCAATTCCTCGGAATCGCCGTCTTCGTACACGATCTTGAAAAACCCAGTTGACGCGTCATATGATTCGACGGAACCGAAGAATGTACCGTGCCCTTCAAACTCTTTCTTCACCTTTCTCCCCACGAACTCCATTTCCCTAAAATTCAGACCTTCATGAATACCATAAAATAAAAAAATAAAAAATATCGAAGAATATATTGAAACTGAAAGAATAAAACCCGGAATTCGAATCGATCTCTATAACCCCTTTCAGTCTCGGAAAGAGAGAAAAATGGTTGGGAGTTTTCGCTTCGAGTCTCTCTCTCTAGACTACAAAGTAAAAAGAAGTTGGTGTTTTGACGGTGTGAGAGAGTGGGGACTACACGCAGTCTAAGCAATGTGAATAACTACACAGCTGCGTTTCTTACGTGACTGACTTCAAAACGGATGAAAATAAGTGCTTTTACACACACACACACACACAATTACTTAATTACGTTTGACCGTATTTGTGTATATGAATGTATTTTTAGTTGAATACGATAACTATGCAATTATAACTTTAATTGACAGACTGATTTTAATCAACAAGGTTAATCGTGATGTAGTTTTGAAATACGTGCAATTGTATTTGAATACATGACTACGGAATAAATTTTGATTGGTTGATAGATTTATTGGTGAAGTTTATTTGCCAAATAGATGGATGTTCGTAATCATCGATGATGGTGCAACTATAACTTTAACAGATAGGATTTATAAATGGAGTAATAATATTTATTATTAACGATAATCATAATCAGTGTAGGTGACTGTAGATCTTCTGAATTATTATTTATTTCATTAAAATGTATCACAACACCATTTGAAAGGGAAATTAATGAGTCCATGACCACCTAAATAGTATTGCCCTATTAATAGCCTGTTTGGGAGTGATTTTAAAAATTGATTTTTTGACCGTTAGGAAAAAAGTGGGGTCCACCTGTGAGGGAAGAAGTCAAATATGATGGCTGAAATAGTGAAATAACGGTCAAAAAATCAACTTTTTGAGGAAAGAAATGGGCCCAAATAGGCCATAAATAAGGTTATTTTGGTAAGTGGGATTTTTGTCTCAAATCAAGATTTTTGAAATGTATGTGCTTGTTTGCATTTCTGTAATCGTATTTGAATGCAATAACAATGTAATATAATAACTTTAAAGAGGTGACTTAATAAAGAGGGGGGTGTGTATTTGTCATTCAATGTGATGACAATTTAACGATAACTTTATCGTGCAGATTTGGTAAATAAGGCATTTGGTAGCTGTAATATTATCAATTTTTTAAAATGCAAAAATGTGTATTTATATTTATATACATGTTGTGTGTGTATATATCATTGAATGCGATGACGATGCAGTGAGGCATATATATACATGTTTGTGGCTACATTCACACTATCTTTAACAAAGTGAACGATAAAAGTAGTTTAGTTGGTACTGGTGATTTTGTCTTCCTTCGATACTTGTGAAAAAAGCATGTAAGCAATGGTAACTTTAGCAGAGTTGTTTAATAAATTAGGTAAGTTGGTAGCGATGCTCTTGTTCGTTTTCGAAAATTACAATTTTTCTTGTATGTGTATGTATATTTAACATCAATTTTAACGAAGGTAGTGTAGGTAAGAATGTTACTTACCACGTGGTGTTTGATTCATTTATGTGTCTTAATACGATTGGATGAAGTACAACTTAGAGATACAATTAAATTAGCTTCATAAGGGTCAAAATTAGAGAGATGTTTTGAGGATAATAGAAGTATTGTTGCAATTCCCTTATCATTTTTTAGAAATTGCGTTCGTATATCTTTTATGGGATATTTCTTGGCTTTTGAACTTTGACATTTCTTTATGTAAACATAATTGCTTAGGCCATATGTGAGTCTCCTTTTTGTTTAGAATAAATTTTGTAAGAGCGAATTTTTTTTATTTTTATTTTTTAAAATGTGGGGTTAGAAAATAGGCAAAGTTTTAAATTTGAATTCAAAATTATTTTATTGAAGGAACGTAATCTTAAAAATGAGAAAAGATGAATTTTAAACATGAGCTTAACAAAGTTTAATTGAAGTTGTAACACTACTTTCCACACAACATGATTATAAGCATTTTCCTGTTGTTTGTCATTAAACACGATGACGCAACATTAAGTTTAATCAAGTAATTTAATAAATAAGGTTATTTTTGCGAGGCGGGCATGTTTATATGCTTGTGTGTATGTATTTGTCAACTGTCATTCAATGTGATGACGATGCAACCCTTAACCTTGTTAGAGTGATTTTATGACGTATGTAATTTGGTCGTGGTGTTTTTTATTATTGTTCGAGATTTAAAAAATACGTTCATATGTAAACTTCAAAAGAGTCAATAGAATAAGTTAGTCTATTGTTGTGCTTAATTTTGTTATGAAACTTAAATAGTTTTGTGTATATATTCATATATAAGCAACATTGATATGAACAGAGTTGATTTAAAGTCTGTTTGATAGAAGTTAAAATCCAAATTTTAGTTTTAAGTCAAAGTATTCAATTAATTTATATATATATATATATATAAACTCTTTTTTCAATACCATGCTAGTTGAAGCAACTTTATGATCATTAAAACATTATATATATGGGTGTGTGTGTGTGTAACTTTATGATCATTAAAACATTATAAACTCAGATATTGATAAGATCCGTCTACAAACTTATCAATTGTTTCGTATGTGGACATAAATGATTGATTAACTATTCATAATAAAACAAATATATGTAATTTTCTTGGTTTTAATAAAGAAAGGAACTTACACCAACAGATAACCACAGCTGCTATAATATAGTCGGCCATAAGGATCCATCCCCAACAATTCTGCTCCTCGAATAGACTTCCCTGCTTTCATCGAAGGCTTATCCTTGTTAATTGCACATTCAGGGCAATACCAATCCCCCTCTGGCAAGAGGCTGCTGACAACTCCTACGCATCTGGAATGAAATGCCGCAGGACAACCATCACAACATATTAAGTTCCCATCCATCTTACATAGGCAGCACTCATCACTGTTCCAATCTGCAGTTTCTTCAACATCCTCCTCTGTGATGCAAGAACCGCTAGCAACATCCATTACCGCCTTTCTTTTCTTGGAGCTGTCAGACTTCATAGTCCGATCAAAATCCACTTGTCGTTCGGTTGCCATTGTCCTTCTATTAATCTCTGACCTGATGGATTCTACATCCATCGCATCATCACAAAGGCGCCGCAGTATCTCAATCTTTGTCATCACAGGTAGTTTGTAATAGTCACTCTGAGAAAGCTTCAAGTGACAGAGATCGAAACCAGAGACGTATCCAGAACTGTATACTAACAGATACTCAACAACAAACACGGGCCATGTGATCAAATCCAGCAAATCCCAATTATGAGACCTAAGTTACAAATAGAATATAAAAGAATTATGTACCAAGAAATTGGAACCGAAATGCATAACTTTTGGAATCAAAGTAAACTAAATACCTGAGACAATTAGACGAAGACATATCACCTTCACTGGAAAGCAACTCCAAATGCTTCCGTAATGTTTGCAAAAGGCAAACGTGAACGGAATCAAACAATAATGTAGAATGGTTACATTTCACGGATGCCAGAAAATCATCCAGCTCAAATGGGCTTAGAAACAGTGAAGTACTGAAAGACCTCAAGAATGCATAAACAGAAAGAATATCAAATGCAGAAACACCATTTATATCCAAATTTCCAGAAGAAGGTGGCAACTCCACCTTTGGCGGAAGAACATCCTCCTCAGATCTTTTACGACACAACACTTCAATCTTTTCCTCGCAAACTGAACTAATCGCTGGAGAGGACAGCCGATTACTGACTCTGTCTATCCCTACTGTATTAAAAACATGATCTTGACCAGAAAAAGAATCCCTATTCACTCTGCGATTGCTCCTTCTCAATCCTGTTTCTGGTGTAGCAGATGTAATATTATTATCAGATACATCTCTTCTCTTCCTACCTCTTCTCCCTCCTGGCGCACTTCCAGGAACTTGTTTATCATAATCAAGTACACCACTACCACTTTCCCGTGGTTTTTCGTAGTTGTCTTTTGAGTTTATATTCACATTTCTTCCATCCATGTTTGCCATCTGTGGCACGTCCAAGTTAATATTGTCATCCGAGATCCTTCTTCTCTTCCTACCCCTTCTGCCCCTTGGCACACTGACAGGAACCTCATTTTCAAAGTCAACTAGGCCGGCACAGTTCTCCGCTGTTACACCTATTTTTTCTAAATTTATATTCTCATTTCCATTTTCACCCTTCACATTAAATAAAATAACCTTATCATCCCCACGAATCTCTTCCTTCTCTGGCTTATCTTCTTCTGCACAGAAATTTTCATTTTCCCCAAACTTTCCCGGTGTGTTACCTGAATTCTTAATCTCATTCTCTGGTAACTCGAAATTCAAGTCAAGACAAACCCTTTTTTTCTCGGGACTATAATTCTCAGAATCTTCATTTACATCCAAATTCAAATCAATTATTTCTTTCCTTTTACCCGACCTGTCGTATGAAACCCCTTCATTGAAATCCATACCCCCATTCCTCAACTCCAAATTCACCGCTTCATTCAAATCCACACCTTGCAGCTTAGCCCCACCACCAGCACAGTTATAACCCAAATTCCCCCCATCGTCATCATTCAAATTATTAAACCCATCATCATTTATATCCAACCCTTCATTCAAATTAAAACCAGCCTCATTCAATTCCATTTTCCCAGAACCCCCACCTAGATTACCAGAAACACCACTCTCTAATACCGAAATATCAATTTTACCTGTATTTATGTGGCTCCGCTTCCTCGGTTTGCGGCCAAGCCTTCTGGTGGGCTCCTCCACGAAGGATGGCTGCGCTTCCCGAGCCAATTCCAGTCCCTCGGGAGACACCAACAGAGAACTAATTTCATTCAAGTCCAATTCCTCGGAATCGCCGTCTTCGTACACGATCTTGAAAAACCCAGTTGACGCGTCATATGATTCGACGGAACCGAAGAATGTACCGTGCCCTTCAAACTCTTTCTTCACCTTTCTCCCCACGAACTCCATTTCCCTAAAATTCAGACCTTCATGAATACCATAAAATAAAAAAATAAAAAATATCGAAGAATATATTGAAACTGAAAGAATAAAACCCGGAATTCGAATCGATCTCTATAACCCCTTTCAGTCTCGGAAAGAGAGAAAAATGGTTGGGAGTTTTCGCTTCGAGTCTCTCTCTCTAGACTACAAAGTAAAAAGAAGTTGGTGTTTTGACGGTGTGAGAGAGTGGGGACTACACGCAGTCTAAGCAATGTGAATAACTACACAGCTGCGTTTCTTACGTGACTGACTTCAAAACGGATGAAAATAAGTGCTTTTACACACACACACACACACAATTACTTAATTACGTTTGACCGTATTTGTGTATATGAATGTATTTTTAGTTGAATACGATAACTATGCAATTATAACTTTAATTGACAGACTGATTTTAATCAACAAGGTTAATCGTGATGTAGTTTTGAAATACGTGCAATTGTATTTGAATACATGACTACGGAATAAATTTTGATTGGTTGATAGATTTATTGGTGAAGTTTATTTGCCAAATAGATGGATGTTCGTAATCATCGATGATGGTGCAACTATAACTTTAACAGATAGGATTTATAAATGGAGTAATAATATTTATTATTAACGATAATCATAATCAGTGTAGGTGACTGTAGATCTTCTGAATTATTATTTATTTCATTAAAATGTATCACAACACCATTTGAAAGGGAAATTAATGAGTCCATGACCACCTAAATAGTATTGCCCTATTAATAGCCTGTTTGGGAGTGATTTTAAAAATTGATTTTTTGACCGTTAGGAAAAAAGTGGGGTCCACCTGTGAGGGAAGAAGTCAAATATGATGGCTGAAATAGTGAAATAACGGTCAAAAAATCAACTTTTTGAGGAAAGAAATGGGCCCAAATAGGCCATAAATAAGGTTATTTTGGTAAGTGGGATTTTTGTCTCAAATCAAGATTTTTGAAATGTATGTGCTTGTTTGCATTTCTGTAATCGTATTTGAATGCAATAACAATGTAATATAATAACTTTAAAGAGGTGACTTAATAAAGAGGGGGGTGTGTATTTGTCATTCAATGTGATGACAATTTAACGATAACTTTATCGTGCAGATTTGGTAAATAAGGCATTTGGTAGCTGTAATATTATCAATTTTTTAAAATGCAAAAATGTGTATTTATATTTATATACATGTTGTGTGTGTATATATCATTGAATGCGATGACGATGCAGTGAGGCATATATATACATGTTTGTGGCTACATTCACACTATCTTTAACAAAGTGAACGATAAAAGTAGTTTAGTTGGTACTGGTGATTTTGTCTTCCTTCGATACTTGTGAAAAAAGCATGTAAGCAATGGTAACTTTAGCAGAGTTGTTTAATAAATTAGGTAAGTTGGTAGCGATGCTCTTGTTCGTTTTCGAAAATTACAATTTTTCTTGTATGTGTATGTATATTTAACATCAATTTTAACGAAGGTAGTGTAGGTAAGAATGTTACTTACCACGTGGTGTTTGATTCATTTATGTGTCTTAATACGATTGGATGAAGTACAACTTAGAGATACAATTAAATTAGCTTCATAAGGGTCAAAATTAGAGAGATGTTTTGAGGATAATAGAAGTATTGTTGCAATTCCCTTATCATTTTTTAGAAATTGCGTTCGTATATCTTTTATGGGATATTTCTTGGCTTTTGAACTTTGACATTTCTTTATGTAAACATAATTGCTTAGGCCATATGTGAGTCTCCTTTTTGTTTAGAATAAATTTTGTAAGAGCGAATTTTTTTTATTTTTATTTTTTAAAATGTGGGGTTAGAAAATAGGCAAAGTTTTAAATTTGAATATTCATCTACCCAACATGGATGATATGTTTGTATGTCTTGCACTTCGTGGTCGCCCTCAGCGTAATTCTCCAGAAATTACAAATTTGTATCATTATCGAGTAGATTTGTTCTACTCTGTCATCGATTTACAACTTCAACAATTGAATGATCGTTTCTCGAAGGTTAATACAAAGTTACTCCTTTGTGTAGCTTGTTCATGCTCACAAGATTCATTTTCTTCTTTTGACAAGAAATGCTTGATTAGACTTGCTGAGTTTTATCCATTAGATTTCTCTATAGTAGATGTCATTGTACTTAACGATCAACTTGAGACTTATATTTTTGACATGCACTTTAACAAAGAGTTTGAAGGGTTAAATGACCTTGGTCTAACAAAGAGTTTGAAGGGTTGAATGACCTTGGTGATCTTGCGGAGAAGTTAGTTCTGACAAAGAAAGATAATGTATATCCATTGGTTTACAGACTTTTGACTTTAGCATTGATTTTACCGATTGCTACCGTTACTATGGAGAGAGTCTTTTCTGCAATGAGCATCGTAAAGAATAGATTGCGCAATCGGATGGGTGATAAGTGGATGAATGATAGCACAATTGTTTATGTAGAGAAATATATATTTTTGAAGCTCGATAATAAAGTTATTGTACAACAATATCAAAATATGAAAACTCGCAAGGAACAAGTTTAATATATAAATTATGTCGTTTTTAGTATTGTTGTAATATTGTTTTATTTTTTATCATCATTAAATCTATGACCAAATCCTCGAAGTTCGGCATCGAAAAATGTTGCCCGCACTGAACACAAATCCTGACTCCGCCCCTGAGTATAGTGGTCAAAAATTAATTTTTTCGTACTTTGTAAAACAAGTTAACGACAATAATATTCTTCGCCTATACAATCTTGTTTGTAAATAGTCAAATATGTAGCCTTCTTCGTACATTCAAATAAACTTGAACGAGAAGGGGGCATTGCACTCTAGGGCGAAACTATTTGCTAGATAGACATTAGAAAATTTGGTAATTGAAAAATATATTTTTTCATTTGTTATGAAGTGTGATGATGATGTAACAATAACTTTTTACATACTGACTAAACAAAGAAGGTTACTTGTGATGTGATACTCTCATTAAGTTTTACAAAATGCATCTTAGATTTTTTATTATTTTTTTTCCCCACTTTGGGAGTGGGAAGATGCTAATTATGGAGAAAGAGAGAGAGATTGAGAAGGAGGGGGAAATAAAGGGCAAAGTTAGATACTTTCTTAATTTGAAAGGTTGGAATTTGGAGAACGTGTTAAGGATAACCATGATATCGTTACAATCTCCTTTCTCTTTTCTTGAATTAATTGTTCCAATGGTCACTGAATTTAGATCCATGTCTTTGATTGGTCAATGAACTTAGGTCCATGTCTTTGATTGTTCATCGAAGTTTAAACTATCGAGTTTTGGCCACTGAATTTTGAAAAATATTGTATGTTACTCACTAGTATAAATGTTAAACTTTGAAAAATATAGAGTTTACAGTGAGTAATGTACAACATTTTTCAAAATTCAGTGGCCAGAACTCAATATTTTAAATTTCAGTGAGCAATCGAAGACATGAATTTAACTTCAGTGGTCAAAACTTGACATGTTAAATTTCAGTGACCAATCAAAGATATGAACCTAAGTTCAGTGACCATTGGAACATTTAACTCTCTTTTCTTGGTAAGTAACATTTTATATGTATCCAAAAAGAGTAAGCAACATTAGTATTTCTTAAATGGGATTTTTCCTTGACTTCTTCCATTTTAAATTTGCATATTTTGTGCAATATCATATTTATAGATTATTCCTTTCCTTTTCAATTTTTCTCTTATTTAGGTTTTGACGGATGAGTAAATATTACATGTTACAATAACTTGATTGGTAATATTCCCATAAAGATATTTATTGTTTCATATTTTGATTGCAATGAAGGTCCCTAAACTTAACTCGTTATCGCACTTACACCTCCATATTTTTTCATTATATTTTTATCATCAACATTCTATTAATTAGCACATTTTGTACGTGAGAATAGTTACTATCCATAAAATTCATTAGAAGTATATAAAAGACTTAGTTGCCTTCATATTTTTAAATAAAGGAACAAAAAATTCAAAAGTGCTTGCATCCCATTTCGAAGGACACTAACAATTTTTTGGACAAAAACAATCACGAGACAATATGTGCTAAATAATTGAACAATAACGTGACAAAAAGTTTGCAGCATAAGAATGAAAATAAGCCCTTGTTTGAGCCTCATTTTGGGGGAAGAATGCATTTTGAATGTGTGGTTGAAAATTAAGGAAAATTTTTGAATTTTAGTGTAATATAATTTTATTGAAAATGTGTGGTTGAAAATTAAGGAAAATTTTTGAATTTTAGTGTAATATAATTTTATTGAAAATGTGTGGTTGAAAATGAGTTTTGAAAAAATGAAATTTTAGAAAATCAGGGCTCAAACAAGGGCTAAATAAAGGGTGATGACCTTTTCCGACAATTAAAATGTGTAGCATCGAAAAAATTATGATATGAAGCATCTTCTCAATCAAGCATTGAAAATGTCCTTCTTGCACCCAGATTCTTTATGTATTGTATTTGAATCTATTGTCAACTTCATCGGTTATAATTATCCTAACTAGAATAAACCCCGCGTTGAATTATTTTTTATGAAAAAGAAAATTGTTTAAACTCTTATCAACATTTTTCATTTCTTAATATTGACCGTGTGGAACAATGGTTTAAATTTAAAAATTTAGGTTTACTAATGACATTGAGGCAAATGAGTAAACTTCAAATTTCTGTCCAGGAAATATTTATACTATCTATTTAAGTTTTTAACTCATCAATTTCAGTAATCATTTATTAAAATTACATAAATAAATACAAGTATTTGAATTAAAATAAAAAGTAAATTTTGTATCTTAGTTAAATTTTAATATTGGCAGGTTGAAATAGTTGGGCCTCACCTGTGGGCTTTTTTCGTTGGATGGACTGAGCTTTTAGAGAAGTGGAGATGATAGGGAATTTTGGAATGGAGTTGTATAGATGTCGCCTTTATCTCTAAATACTACCTTATTCTTTTGTTTTGATGGAAACTTTGTTCTTTTAGTTTAGGCTAGGGGTTGTTTGATAAAGTTTTTGATAAAAGCCGATAAAATATGTAGATGAAAAATTTATGAAATTTGTAGATATTATGAAATATGTGATTAAAATTAAAGTTTGAAAATTTAAAGATTTTTAACGAAGTTTTATCAAACAAACGCAAGGATGGGAATGAAAGGAGCTTAGCTGCCTCGGCCTTTAAATGAACTCGAATCAACCGTTCGGCTCTTGGGCTAACTCGAGCTACTCAAAAGTCGGCTATTATTCTAGTTTTATTTTTAAAAAAAAAAACAAAATATGCCCAAAAAAATAAAAATAATAACAATGTAAGTCAAAAAACAGGAAAAAACGATCTAGCTCATGAGTCTCATGAGGCGAGCCAGCAAGGTGTTGTACAATTCAATGAACAATGATTGAAATTTGTTTATTTTCCCCTATATCCAAGTATCTATTATTAAACAAGACATAGTATCTCTATTGTTTTAATAGTCGGGTAGCTATTTTTTGTGAAGTATGATTAAAAAGTATGAAAAATACGTGAGAATTTTTATTTTTAAATGTGTAGTTAAAAATGAATCTGAAAGATATGCATTTCTTAAATAATCAAAATCAAACCACGGCCAAAAAATGTGCTAATCTAGAAATCTATTAAATAGTGCTATTCGTGTTAGTTTTGCCTTGGAAGTCTACTAGCGGTGTGTCACTACTGTTAGTGGCTAATTTCACAACAACCATGCTACATTGACGAGAAAATTTGATAGGGTTTAGTGACCAATAACACTTGTCATTCATTATTGAAAGATGGAAGTTTTTTTTAAAAAAACAGACAAATCAAAATTTGCCATATTATCCCTGTCAATTCCCTTGTCTCATTTCCCTGGCTGAGTAGATTAATTCATTTCACAACTACGGATATACAAGGAGATCAATTTCAAAAAAAATAGTGAAATAAAAACTACTTTAAAAATCAAGTGTAACATCTAATATGTAATTTTTGACCACATAAATTTTAGAAATACTACATTTAATAAGTTACATTGATTGCATTTTATATTAATTACATTTAAATCACGTTATATCATGTGTAATTCTTGTACTTTGTATATATGTATATATTTTCAAATTGTTACCTAAAATTATTTCACCATGTCTACGACCATCATTGCTATCCAATCATCACCAACCATCACCTCATCAACGCAAGAAAATTACAACTTTTGTAATTATTATTATTATTATTTTAACTTATTAATCGATGCATCACCACCATCCTCCATTATCGATGTTATTGCCGTCGTCACTATCGCTGGTCGACACCACCAGCAGCTACAAACCACCAATAAGAAGAAAAAGTATTTCGAAGGCCACCAACACGAAAAAATGAATATCTAACCACCGCCACCATCATCGCCACTACGAACATTACCTCGAACCATCGTCGTCATCACGATTGCCTAAGCATAACACTTTCTAAATTCGAAAATTTCTGACCTAAACAAATCTGCAACTTGGAGAGGGAAAAATGAACCGATATTAGCAGTGGTTCTAAGTTTTGGGAAGGAGCACTGTAAATGGTGGGGGGTTTTAGCGTTTGAGAGTGGGATTAATAGTGGTAGTGATTTTCAACAGAAGCCAAAAGATGGTGTTAAAGAAGGTTTTGGCGGTAATGAGGTGGTGACTATAGTGTGTTGGAATAATTAATAATTTTATATGTGGGCTTCACATTCGATTGCAAAATTTTACAAGTTAGATATATAGCTCATAATAATAATTGTGTTTGGGCCAAATTTATTAAGTGATCAATTGGGCCTTTTATACCTTACGGGTTGTAATTAATTTGATGTGGTTATTTAAAGTATGCGGGCCGGAAATAAACCCTAATTAGAATTCTAGTCGTAATGGGACGGCTAAAATTATTTCCTATATATAAAGGCTAGGTCCCCTCTCCTCTCCATATGTTTTATTAACTTGCCACATTGATAGCTAATATTTTGTGAGGAGTAAGGAGGGGAAGATCTTGACTGTTATTACTGTTGGAATAATTAATTATTTCATATGTGGGCTTCACATTGGATTGCAAATTTTACGGGTTAGATTATGGCTCATAATGATATTTGTGTTTGGGCCAAATTTATTAAGTGATCAATTGGGTCTTTTACACCTTACGTGTTGTAATTAATTTTATGTGGTAGTTTAAAGTATGTGGGTCGGAAATAAACTTTAATTAGAATTCTAGTCGTAATGAGACGGCTCAAATTATTTCCTATATATAAAGGCCAGGTTTCCTCTTCTCTCCATATATTTTCATTAGCTTGCCCCATTGATAACTAATACTTTTGTGAGGAGTAAGGAGGGGAAGATCTTGACTGCTATCACAACTACTATTTTTAATGGCTTCTGCAGGTATGAATTTGGTTTATTAATTTATCATTTGGTGATTCTTGATTTTTAGCATGATTACAAATTAAAATTTAACAATTGGTATCAGAGCCTACTTGCTAAAATCTGAATCTTTCATAAATATATTGTTTATAATTTTTGTATTTTTCATTTTTACTGGAAATAAAATATGTTATATCCCAAACCAAATCTATAATCACTCCGTCGATGCCCATTAAATATTGCATTGGTGGGCTGTTCGAGTTTTAATTTTTTTCCCCTCGAGAAATTTTGAATTTTTAGCCCAAAATTGTAAGAAACTCATTATGCCCGAAAACCAACTAATTCTGACCAGCCACAAAATTCAATTTTTGATTTATATTTTATTTTTCTCGTTTTCTGATTCAATTGTCTGCTGGAAGTCTACCAAATGAATGCGAAGATAAGTCAAAACACAAGTCCCGAAAACACCCTATTGCAGCCGAAACTGACTTCCTACTATAATGGATTTTAAATTTGATTTTAGTTGACTTCCTCTTATTCTAATGGATTTAGATTTGATTTTGGCTATGGCAAGATCACCACATGTTGCTCGTATATATAATTGTTCCATGGATGTGTATCTTCTTATTACTGTGAAAAATTGTTGGTTTAAATGTGCGAATTGTAGTCGGAACCACCGTCGGCTCTGGCGGATCGAGGAAACAGTAGAATAGCTGTTTTTGCTGTGATGGCGGCAACCCTTTTGCTGCTGTTTCATGGCCTGGGATGGAGGAATGTGTCGTTGTCCTAGCGATGACTTCCAGCGACTATAGAAACAGGGATGAAGATGGGAGCTCCAATTGCAATTAGTCAAGTTTTGAGTCCTCAGTTGCAATTATCATTCTAGGGCCTGTATGCAATTGAGAGAATAGGGTTACATTGCAATTTCTAAAATAAGGACCTGACACGCAATTTTAAATAATAAAGGACCTTATTTTAATTTGTGTTTAGTATGTAATTTTCAATAAGGGCTCTTAAATTTGAACTTCTAAACTTTTGACCCTAAAATTTTATTTTTGATCAAATTAAAACTTTAATTGATAATTGACCCGATTAAAATATATTAGATAATAATAATAATAATAATAATAATTTCATTGACGAATTTTATACTTTTCATTAAATTGCTTATGTATTTAAATATTGCCATTATTTATGCATTTAAATTTCATTTTTGAAATTTTGTTGGCAATTTCGTCTCTCAATCACATATGAATCTTCGTCTTTTATCGATTAATTTTTGCGTAATTATTGTTTTGTGATTGAATTTTAATGAGTTTTGAGACGATCCTTATTTGTCCCCACAAAAAGAAATATTTTGAAATAAAAATGGGTGGTAGCTGTCAAAGTAGCACACTCATTATTATTTATTCGATTTTCTCAACAATAAAAATATATATATATTTGCCCAACAACTTTTGATTTATTACATATCATATCTTACCCAAAGATGTTATTATATGCAGTATTTTTGGAAAATGGCGTAAGACAGTTAACGAGATTATTTTGGTTTAGAAATTTCCTTCTGCCCAAAGGTGTTGGAATTTCGAAAATCAATGTAATTTTGTTAACTAGCTAGATAATGTATTTTAAGAGTATCTTATAGCATGTTGTATTGTTGACCCAAAGGTGACTTTATGTGATGCATCTAGGCTCTTACCGTAATAAAATTTATATATTTCGATTTAAATTACGGATTATCTAATTAATAGCCCATATTAATTAGTTGGATATTTCACCGTCCATTTGATTGCATGCATTAAGTTTGGATGACATTAAGAGTGATATTTTATGTTTCCACAGTTTATAATGTCTCATCTTTTTCGAATCAATTGTCTGCTATTGAAACTTTGACTAGGAATAACTATGTGAGATGGAAACGAGACGCAAAAATACCACTTGGTCTTTTGGACTTAGATTTTGCAATGGAAAAAAAGTTTGAAAAATCCACAGATAAGAGTACCGTTGAATATGTAGCCGAGTATGAAAAGTGGAAAAGGGCTAACAAACTCTGTTTGAAAATCATTAAACGATCGATATCTGATTCCATTCTAGGTGCCATCCCTGATAATGAAAATGCCAAAAGTTTTATGGATGCCATAGGAGAAAAATTTGTTGAGTCTGATAAAGCCGAAACTGGGGATCTGATGGATAAATTGATGAGCATGATATATGATGGCACAAATGGTGTTAGGGAGCATGTCATGAAAATGATAAATATATCATCTAAGCTAAAGGCTCTTGACATTCCCATTGCGGAGCCTTTCCTAGTCTATCATGTTTTGAATAGCCTTCCTAACAAGTTTAATCAGCTTAAGGTTGCTTACAATGCTCAGCAGGATAAATGGAATTTAAATGACCTCATAGTAGTGTGTGCCCATGAAGAGTATAGGATGCGCCGTGAAACTGTACAACTAGCTTTTCAGCCATCACAGAATAAGGGGCCTTCTCATAATCATAAATCTAAGTTTCGTAAGGGTAATAAGTCCCATCGAAGTCAGCAGAATAAAAATTTTAATGGTCCCAAAGCAGTTATAAAGAAAAATGATCAATGCAAGTTCTGTAAAAAGAAGGGTCACTGGCAGAAAGACTGTTTTAAGTTCAAGACTTGGTTGGAAAAGAAGAAGAGTTCTTCAGGTATTCCCTTGACCTTAGTTTGTTTTGAGTCTTCTTTAGTAAATGTACCTTTGAATTCTTGGTGGTTAGACTCGGGAGCTAGTATTCATATTGCGAATTCCTTGCAGGGGTTCATAAGTAAACGGAGGCCAAGTGAAAATGAAGTAAGCTTGAGCGTTGCAAATGGATTCCAAGTGAAGGTTGAATTCATAGGAGTAGTGAAATTAACTTTAGAGTCTGGTTTTTATCTTGTTTTGGAAAATACAGTCTATGTACCGCAGATGAGACGAAATTTAATTTCTATACCAAAACTTGATGCTTGTGGTTTTACATTTAATTTTGGTAATCGAATGGTTAAGTTATTTAATGATTCTCATTTGATTGGGAATGACATTTTATGTGATGGTTTATATAAATTATCTTTGGTTTCTTTTGGTGATGTCTCTTGTGTTACAAATGTATCAAAGAAAAGGGCTTTAATTCGTGAATCATACTCTATGTTGTGGCATAAACGATTGCGTCATATTTCTAAGGATAGAATGGAAAGATTAGTAAAAGATGAGATAATTCCTTCTTTAGACTTCTCCGATTTTGACACCTGTATAGATTGTATAAGTGGAAAGTTAACTAAGTCTACGAGGAAGGGTTCGACTAGGAGTAATGGAATTTTGGACTTAATTCACACTGATATCAGCGGACCTTTGCTTTCTACTATATGTGGGAATAAATATTTCATAACTTTCATTGATGATTTCTAACGATATGGATATGTTTATTTAATTAACGACAAATCATATGCACTTGAGAAATTCAAAGTTTTCAAACTGGAAGTAGAGAAACAATGTGTGAAAAGTATCAAAGTTGTATGATCTGACCGAGGTGGTGAGTACTATGGGAAATATGACGAATCTGGTCAAAATATGGGTGATTTTGCAAAATTTTTACAAGAGTGTGGAATAGTGCCCCAATACACCATGCTAGGGACACCTGAGCAGAGTGGTTTTTCTGAAAGACGTAATCGAACTCTAAAAGATATGGTTAGAAATATGATGAGTAGAACAAATTTGCCTGAATATTTGTGGGGTGAAGCCTTGAAAACAGCTATGTATATTTTGAACAGAGTTCCAAGTAAAGCTGTTGTAAAGACACCTTTTGAATTATGGACAGGACGTAAGCCAAGTATGGCTCACTTTAAAGTTTGGGGATGTCCAGCTGAGGTTAGGATTTATAATCCATTTGAAAAGAAATTAGACCCTAAATCAACTCCTGGCTACTTTATTGGGTATCCAGAAAGATCAAAGGGATATAAGTTTTACTGTCCAAATCGAGGCACTAGAATTGTGGAGTCCATTGCTGCTAAGTTTCTGGAGAACGATTTTGGAGATAGTGGGAGTTCCACGTTGAGAGAAATTCTTGTTGAACCTAATCAAGTTGTAGTTCCAGTTCCTGTCATACAGAAAAGAATTGGTTCTCAACCAATTGAAGTTGTTAATGAAGAACCCAGGAACCAGGAGGAATATCCAATTCCTCAAAAAATGATTGAATCGGTTCTTGAGCCACAAGTTAGGAAATCACAAAGGGAAAGAAGATCTGCATTTCCCAGTGTTTATATTGCATATTTATTGGAGAGCGATTTTAATATTGGGCATATTGTTGATCCTGTAACTTATAACCAAGCATTGACAAGTCGTGATGTAGATAATTGGATAGCTGCTATGGAAGATGAAATGAATTCCATGAAAAGGAATAAAGTTTGGGATCTTGTTGAACTTTCTCCAAATGCTAAGGCTGTAGATAACAAGTGGATTTTCAAAAGTAAATTAGATTCAAAAGGAAACGTTGAACGAAAGAAAGCAAGATTAGTTACAAAAGGTTTCACTCAACGAGAGGGCATTGATTATGTTGAAACCTTCTCCGCTGTTTCATCAAAAGATTCTTTTCGAATTATTATGACTCTTGTGGCACACTACAATTTGGAGCTTCATCAAATGGATGTTAAGACAATATTTTTGAATGGAGATCTTTCTGAAATGGTTTATATGAAACAACTTGAAGGCTTTGTTGTAAAAAAAAAAAAAAAAGAAAACTTGGTGTGTAAGTTAAACAAATCCTTATATGGTCTCAAGCAAGCATCTCGACAGTGGTATTTGAAATTTGATGAGTTTGTGACATCTCTTGATTTTGTCGAAAATACTATTGATCAATGCATTTATTTTAAAACCAGTGGAATAAATTTTATTTTCCTTGTATTATATGTTGATGACATTCTGCTTGCTAGCAGTAACTTAGGGTTGTTTCATGAGACAAAGAAAATGTTGTCTGCTAATTTTGAGATGAAAGATCTTGGAGAAGCTTCCTATGTACTTGGCATTGAAATACATCGTGATAGAAATCGTGGCTTATTGGGACTTTCTCAGAAAGTTTATATACGACGTGTTCTAGAAAGGTTTAATATGCAGAATTGTGCACCTGGTGATGTACCTATCATAAAAGGAGATAAGTTTAACAAAACTCAATATCCAAGGAATGAGCTAGAAAGGAAATCTATGAAGATGATTCCATATCCTAGTGCTGTGGAAAGCTTGGTGTATGCTCAAATTAGCACTAGACCAGATATAGCCTACGCAGTAAGTGTCCTTAGCAGATTTCAGTCTAATCCAGGACAAGAGCATTGGAAAGCAGTTAAGAAAGTTATGAGATATTTGAAGAAAACTAAAGGTTATATGCTTACATTCCAGTGTACAAATCATCTTGAGGTGGTAGGATATTCAGATT